CTACCCCGCCGAAGAGCCGACTTCCATGAGGAAGAGGCTGCGCGGCAAGTGGCCGAAGAGGTGGGGGCCATACGACGAACGGCAATAAATTAGTTTTCACGAGGACGGGGTCCCTGGAATGCTAGGAGACCCTGCGGGCGCCGGGGCCGAGGCTGCCTCTGACCTCGAGCCCATCCCGTCGCGCGGGGCGGGGGGGCGGGCGGTCGAGCTGAGGTCCACGCGCCGGGCGCGACATCCGCAATTTGCACGTGGCCATCGGCCATCCTGCCAATGGCCCCTTGCGAGGTGCCTGAGGAGGTCCGGCGCGAAGAGGCGGTCATCGCGGCATTGTCGCATCTCAGATGCGACGCCCGCGGCCGTGCGATTCGGAGAGAGCGGGCGCTTGGCGCGGATGCCGGGGCGGCGCCAGTTCAACTTCCACGCGGTGCGCTCGACGCCCTCCTCGCCTGCGACGCCGAGGGGTGCGCGCGCGCGTTCGCGAGCGCGGCGCTCGACGGCGCCGGGTTCCAGGCGGCGTGGCGCTTCCGCCAGGGCACCCGCGCCCCCGCCGCGGACGTCGGCCTGATCGTTTTCCGGGTGGGCCAGCTGGGCCGGGCTGCCTCAGTCAGTCTCCGCGGGCCGCGGCGAGGAGTTATCCAAGAAGCTTTCGGCCCGCGCGTTCGAGGGCGGCGTCGAGACCGAGAGCGCAGCGCCGGGGGCCATCGGCAGCTCGGCAGAATCGGGCGCCTGGGCAGAGCCTGGACAGAATGAGGTTTTCCATTGCGTGGTCGCGCGGTGCGGGGCGCCCAGATCACCGAGGAGAAGGCCCTGCGCACCCTGCGCGGCATCGCGAGCCAGGTTCGCAACGAGACGGTGCTCTGGGACGGCTACTCGCCAGCGAACGCTGCGGGCGCGTTGCCCGCAAATCCCAAGATCGGAGTTTCATGGCGACGCGAAGAAGTCCAACGTCCGCGAGGTTGCTCCCCGCGATGGCCCCCAGTCCACTGGCGCGAATCCGCCGAGGTCGCCGTCGTCGAGATGCATGGCGACAGCCGCGACAGGGGGATGCGCTGGCACGTCCCACGAGGGGCCCCGTCCCCGTCGGAGCCTACGTTAACTTCTGGATGGTGCACCTCTCTCCGGGCGAATCGCCGGCCCTGTTCCGCCGCTGGTTCGGGGTCGCTCGCTGCCGCGACCCCGACGAGATGGCGGGCGGGATCGGCGCTGCCATGCGCCCTGCAGTCGGGCGCGGTAGCCCTCGCGCGATCTGTCTGGGGCATAGTGGCGGCGCGGTCCCGGCGAGACCAGAGCAGCAAGCTGGCCACCTGAGACACGATGCGCGCGGGCCAGCGCGGGGCCGCCCTGCCACGAGGCCTCGGGGATTCCTCGGCGACGACGCGAGGGTTTGGAGGGGGCTCCAGCGATCCCCGAGGACGGGCCGCTGTCAGGCAGATCGTCGGCGGCGCCTGCGGCGGGGGCCGCGGGCCCGGCCCCTGCTCGCGCCGGGGGCGGTCGGCCTGCGTCGACCGCGGCGCCCGCGGCGCAGCTGGCGCGCGAGGTCGGCGCAGCGGCGGGCGCCTGCGCAGACGGGGGCCGATGGTCCACGGCCACCGATGGCAGGACCCCAGCAGGGCGCTAACCTCACCCCAGAGGCCCCTGTACATGAGCAAGCTCCTGGGTGATTTTTCGGAAGCGCCGAATCCAGCTGCGCCAGCACCAGACATAGATGATAATGTTGACATGGGCGGTGAGGCACCCGCCGTGGCGGAAGACCCACCGCAGCCGCCTGCCATTGCGTAGCACTCCGCAGGTGCGGATCAGAGTGAGGGGGCGGTGGGGGCGTCGGCAATCTGCGAAACTCTGGAGAAGCCCGCCGCAGGCACCAAAGTTTCACAAATTAGACCACGGGCCCGCCGCAGGCGCCGATTTTTCGTCAAACCAATGTGGATCGGTCGCAGGTGCGTCGCGGGTGTGTCGCGGGGTAGGTCGCGGGCGGGTCGCAAGTGGGTCGCGGGTGGGTCGCGGGTGGGCCGCGGATGGGTCGCGGGGTGGGTCGCGGGTGGGTCGCGGGCTGGGTCGCGGGTGGGTCGTGGGTGGGTCGCGGGTGGGTCGCGGGTGGGTCGCGGGCTGGGTCGCGGGCGCGTCGCGGGGCGATCGGGGCGGGTCGCAGAGTGGGTCGCGGGGTGGGTCGCGCGGTGATCGCGGGGGGGGCGACGACAACAAACAACGACAACAACAACAACAACAACGCAACAGGCAGAGTCCTCACCGCGGATTCTCACTTCAGCCACGCATCCAGGGACAATGAATGGCCGTTCGGCCCCCCCATTCTGACTTTGGCCCACGGGCCACGGGAGATGCCGCCGAGACGGCGGCGGCCAGGTCCTATCGCGGGAGGGGCCTCCTTCGCGGAGCACTGGGCGGACGAATTCTCCTACTCTTGGCACGATTGCGCCTGGCTGACCAGTGGGCCCAGCGCAAGGAGCTGACGCTCAGTCGAAACTGAAGGCGGAGAGGGCCACATTCGCCGCGAGCGCGCCCAAGGGGCGGGGCACTCGGGCGACCTCAGGGCGACGACCGCGGCCACTGGAAACGCGGAGAGGGAGCTGTTCGAGAGGGCCAAGCCCATCCCATCGAAGTGGGTGCACACTGACAAGAACGAGTGCGATTGGAAGCTCCCCCTGAAGGCGAAGTCCTAGCTGGTAGCGTTCGGGCGCTATGAATCGATCCACGTGAGAACTGACTCGCCCGCGCCCTCGCCGCTGGTCCTCCATTTCATCTGCGGCGCGGCGGGCGAGAAATGCTGGCTTCTCTTCAAGTCCGACGCCGCGAGCACATGCCTGCAAGGAGACGACGTCGATCGCTTGCCGGTGCTGCGACCGCCTTCGCCCCCGCCGCTTGGATTTCAAGAAGGGCCCCTGTTCGTCTGCCACCGCGCCGTCTACGGCGCCCATGGCGCTTGCAGGGCGCGGCGGAGCTCAGCGGCGGCGGGCGCTGAACGGCAACTCGCGACGGGAGAGCCGCCAGGCGCGTGCCTTCTTCCTGCTGCTCGAGAGCTGTAGCCTCGTCGGCCTCGTCGGGGCTTGCGCGGGCGACCCGTTCGGGTTCGACGACCCGATCGGCTGCCCGCTCGAGGCCGCGACCGACGAGCTCAAGATGGCGCAGCGGCGAGGCCGTCGAGCAGGCCGAGGACTATTCGATCAAGACCGGAATGGCCCACTTCATCGACGCGACGGAGATTGCGGCGACAACGTCTTCGACGCGCGAAGCAGACTATGGCGCTTGTTGCTGATGGCGACGAAGGGTTTCGCGGAGTCGGTCGTGGGCTCGCTGGGGTGGCTCTCGAGAGCAATCCATTGGCGTTTCGCTTGGCTGTGGTTGGCTCGCGCACCAGAAGAACCTGGCCACGTTTCGGCGCCTATTGGAGATGAATCTGGCCGCGCGCTATTGCCATGAGACGAGGGGTGCGCCTGCGCTTCTGGAAGACCCTTGCGCGACGATGGAGACCAACGCTCAGCAGTCTTCGCCGACGGCAGCTTCAACGACGTCGACGACCTCTCGCCCGGCTCGCTTGGCGAAAAGGTTGAATCACAGTTGGGCGTTGCGTGCTGTCTCGCCGACGACGGCCTTTGCAGGCGCCAAGAAGGGCCATCGCTTTCTGGCGCCTCTTTGAGTGGGGCACTTCACGGATCGAGCGCGTCGCGAGAGCCTCGGTGGGAGCTCGAGCTCGTGCACTCGCTGACGGAGCTGAAGCACTGGAGTGGGTCAGGGCGCTCTACTACGAGATGGACAAGCCCCACCAGCCGCCAGTCGACTTGGCGCATGGCGCGGCCTCCGCCAAGTGGTCCGATGATGCGAACCGCCATGTGGCCCGCGTGCTAGCTGATGCGGGACAAACTGCAGATCGTCGAGTTCGAGTGGTCATCGCCGCCCGCCTAGAACTACTGTTTCAACGTGGGGTCGACCTGCATTTGTTCGACGCATCGGCGCAGTTGACTGACGCCCTCACCTAGCTGGAGACCGAAAGAGGTCACTTCGCCAAAGCGATGAAGGACGGCTACATGAGCGCGAAGGCGTCTGCCGAGGCTGGCTCCGCGATGGAGGCGATCAAGGCGGCGCGCCACTGGAGCGCCGATGAGCGCCGCGCCCGCGGCGCGAGCTTGGCCGCGCACATGGTGGCAGGGTGCGCGGCAGGAGGCGAACTACACATATCATACTTGCATCCCAAGCCCGGACTAATAAAGCCAGGTGATCGAGGACGGGCGTTGGAATGCTTGTGCGATCATCCCTTTTCCCCTGCCCCTTGCCGCTGCCCGCGCGCCATCCGATCCGACCGCTGAAATGTGGCGCGTGGAGATCTTGCGCATGCGGGCTTGCGCCTGGAAGGCTTTCGAAAGTGGCGGCCGTCAATTGGTGCTCCTCTTCGGCGGCGCTCGGAAGGGAGCGCGGTGACGGGCCCACCTCGCAGGTTCGACTTCGATTCGGTCGACCCGGTCTGAAATCGATTCTGGCCCGCCCGACCCAGTCCGGTTTGGCGGCTCGGGCCGGGGCGATCCAGCTCGGCTCGATGCTTGCATGGTGCTTTTGTGCATCATGCGATCCGGTTCGATTTCGGCACCGTGCCAATGCAGTCCGATACGTGGCACCATCCGGTTCGACCCGTCTTCCTGCGTCGATGATGCCTGAACCTGCTTCGACGTGGGCGGCGCGCTCAGAATGGGGGCGGGGCTTTCTGAGAAGGCACCCCGCCTCCTAGGAACCCTCTTTCTTGTTTTCTTTCCACGGAACTCCTGCTGCCCTCTCAGAAGCCGCCCCCCTCGCCCCAGTCCCGCTTTGTGCGCCACCAGCCCGCTGCTGCTCCATCCCCCATACTCCACCCGGCGTTTGGTCTCCATCCGCCCTTCTCCCATTTTTTCCTCCTCCTCCTCGTCCGCCTCCTCATCCGTCTACGATTTCTGTTTCTTCGCTTCCTCCTCCTCCTCTTCCTCCTCCTCCTCCTTCCCCTCCTTGCTTCCCTCCTCCTCGCAGGAGGGGCCTTCGAGTCCTCACCGCGCAAGTCCAACGGCTCCGACCCAGTCAAGGTTTTGCAGCGATTGTGATTCTGGCGGTGTTAAGTGTGTTAGTGTTATTGCTGGTGTTGATGTCGATGATGCTGGTGATGCTGACGATGATGACGGTGATGATGACGAGATGGGGATGATGACGGCGATTGTGCTTACTATGACATCCCTGAGGTTTCTGCTGATCATGATTGCAGCGATGAGGAGGACGCTGAGGAGAACGAGATGCGAGGGAGACTGGGAAGCAGAAAAAGATGATGAGCTGGCCGGGGGGGATGGCGAGGGCGCAAGGGTGGTAGGGAAGAGGTGGGCGGAGTGTTGATGATGGTTGTGGTTTTGGCAATGCTGGTGATGTTGCGGATGGTGATGGTCATGTGGATGATGATGTTGCTGAGGATGACGACAATGTGGCTGATGATCACGACGGTGATGCAGATGGAAGGTTCTTAGGGATGTGTATGATGGTGATGGTGATGTCGATGGTGATTGTGATGATGCCTTTGTGATGCTGATAACTAATATGACAATGTCGGTAAGGATGCCGATGGTGATGGTGATGTTGATTATGAAGGTGATAATGATAATCCGGATGGTAATTTTGCGAACGATGCCGATGCTGCTGACCATGATGACAGTCGGGTTGTGGTGCTAGAGGTGGTGGTAGCCATGGCGATGATTGATGTTGGATGTGATAACGATGGTTCTAGATAAGATGATGCTGATGCAGATGATAGTGGAGGAGCACATTACAATGGTTGATGATGGGGGTGGTAGTGATAGGAGGAGGATGGTGATGGTGATGGTGATGATCCCACTGGTGGCTATGATGGTGATGCCGACGACGGCGAGTACGATGACGACGATGATGATGATTATGATGCTGATGCTGATGATGATGATACTGATGAAGACGATGATGGCGATGACGACAGTGGTGACGATGATGATGACGACGATGGTGATGATGATGATGATGATGATGATGATCATGATGATCATGATGATCATGATGATGCTAATGCTGATGCTGATGATGATGATAGTAATAATGATGATGCTGATGATGATAATGATGATGATTAGGTTGATGATAGTGATGACGGTGACAGCTATCATGCTGTTCTTGTTGATGTTGGAAATGAGGAGGATGATGATGGTGATGACGATGCTGATATCGATGATCATGATGATGATGCTTATTACGATGACGACGCCGATGATGATGACGACGCCGATGATGATGATGATGATGATGACGATGATGATGATGATGATGATGATGATGATGATGATGGTGGAACAGATGATGATGATGATGATGATGATGCTGATGCTGATGCTGATGCTGATGATGATGATGATGATGATGATGATGATGATGATGATGGGGATGAAGATGAGGATGAGGATGAGGATGAGGATGAGGATGAGGATGAGGATGAGGATGGTGGTGATGATGATGGTGGTGGTGATGATGATGATGGAAAAGATGATTGATGATGACGCGGAGAAGGAGGAGGGGGAGGAGGAGCAGGAGGAGGGGGGGGGGAGAAGGATGGGGCGAGCAGGATACTGAGGTGGATGTGGATGGAGGGTAATGGTGAGGACGGGCAATGGTGATGAACGTGCGTGATGGGGAGGTGCATGGAGGATGGTGGAGGGATGGAGGAGGAGGCGGAAGAGGAGGAGGAGGAGGAGGAGGAGGAGGAGGAGAAAGGGGAGGGAGGGGCTGATGGGGAGGGGGAGGAAGAGGAGGAGGTCGATGATGAGCTGCATGACGGAGAGCGGAAGGTTGGGAGCACGGCGACAGGACAGGGATTGCAGGAGGGGGCGATGGAGTACTATGAGGTCGGGCATGATGATGCCGATATTGGTGACGATGGTGTTGACGATGGCCAGGCGGAGACTGTCGACGACGGCGATTGTGAGAATGGTGGCGGGAACGATGATAATGATGCTGATAGTGACGGCAGCCACGGCGCCGGTGACCATGATGATGTTGTTGACGATGATGATCGTGGTGGTGATGCTGCTTATCATTGATGATGGTGGCGGGGATGGGCACGGTGATGACCTGCGTTGGAGGTGGGGATGGGGATGGCGAGGCTGGATGATCTGGATGACGGGAGTTACACATGGATGACGATCTGGCTGGGCGGGGGGGTGTTGCTGGAGGCGGTGGGTGGGCGGATGAGGCGGAATAGTGTACGCAGGGCGGATGGAAGGGATGCTCACGCGCGGGGCGTGGCGGAGGGGGCGGGGGGCGGATGCTGAGTCGAAGAACGGAGATGGTGACTTTGATGAAGAGGACGAGGGAAGGATGATGATGGAGGGGGGTGATGAAGAGACACACTATGAACTGGCAATGGGAGGAGGAGGAGGAGGAGGAGGAGGAAGAGGAGGTGGATTTGGGAGTCGGCAGGATGGCCGCAGGTAGAAGACGGGAACGCGGATGCAGAGCGCAGGCAATGAATAATTGAGAGTAGGACGGGGATTGGGAGGGCATATGATGATGTGATGGTGATGTTGCTGCTGCCGGCGACGACGACATGACGACGACATGACGACGACGATGATGACGATGATGATGACGATGACGATGACGATTACGATGGTGACGACGATGATAATGATCACGATGCTGATGATGGTGATAATGATGATGACGATGTTGATGATAGTGATGGTGCTGGTGATGACGGTGCTGACGATGCTGCTGCTGATGATAATGATAATGATGTTGATGCTGATGATGATGATGCTGCTGCTGATGATGGTGATGAGCATGGTGATAACCGTGGTGGTGGAGGGCTCGGTAGTGATGACGATTATGTTGACGGCGATGGCGATGGCGATGCTGCTTATGATGATGGTGATGATGATGCTTACGACGACGGCGACGATGATGATCAGGTTGGACAAGGATGGTGGTGTCGCTGACGATTGTGATGGTGACGGTAAAGACGGTGGTGTTGCCGCGTGTGGTAACTGTATCAGACGACGGTTGTGCTGCCGATGACGCGGATGACGATAACGAAACGGGCAACCAGGTTTATGAATGAACATACTGTGTTGGATGAGGGGGGTCATGATGTTTAGCTGTCGTGAGGATACAGTCGCTGATGATGAAACTGATGATGAATTTCAGCTGCGGGAAGAAGGAGGAGGGTGATACAGATCAGAATGATGAGGATGCGAAGGAGGATAAGGAACATGAAGGGACTCATATGAATCACGGTCACGCGGAGGGAGAGGAGGACGAGGAAGAGGAAGAAGCCCAGGCCGTGGGCGCACGGCGGCAGGCAGACTGCGCGCAGAGATCCGTGGCGGCCCCAGGAAAACGGAGTGCCCCAGCGGAGGGTTTCCGCACCCGCCTCCTGCACGGTGGTGCCTCAGCATGTCGACGCGCGTGCGTGCGCCAGCGTCCCCGTCGACGACGGCGCGCCCACGACGGCGCTCGCGCAGCACGCCGAGCATGCCGCAGTGCGGGGCCTGGTGGCCAGTCTCCGGCCGCGGGGCTCCTCGGGCTGCCCACGGCGGTGGCTCTCCGCGTGCCGGACGCCAGGTTTCGGCCGCAGGCGTGCCGGGCGGCGCCCCTCCTCACAGTCCGCCAGCTGGCTGCCGTCCAGGGCAAGTGGGCCATCCGCCTCCCGGAGATCGACACGCACATGCCAGGAGCTCGGCGCCCCGCGGCTGTTCCCCACTCGGACCATCAGGGCAGCGGCGGCCCTGGCGGCCAGGATTGATCGCACCTGCCGCGCCGAGGTTCTGTCACAGTCGGGTTGCGCGCATCGCGGCCCACGCGGCCCCTCCATGGATGTGGACCATCCGCGGTCATGGTACTCGGAGTGCACGCTCCAGCCCGGGTGGGCAGGAAGCGGCGCATCCGCGCAGACCTGGTGGAAACCCTCGATTCCCAGCGGGAAGAGGCTTAGGTTCGGAGGCCTGAGGTTGGCACCAGCAGCAAGATCGGCGGCGTGCTTCCACCGAGGGAAGATGATCCCGATCTCGGTAGTGGTGGTCATATTCGGGTCGGGCTTCCCGGGTGACCGAAACATGACCACCAGCACCGCCATCCAGGACCAGCTTGCCCCGGTGCAGGCAACCCCTTGTTTAGGTGCTGGTGCTCATCTCCAGGCCTCCGACAAGTGGCTCGGCGCACCCGCGAGGCCGCCTGGCACCCGCGAGGCGGCCTCCCGCCCGCCGCGGGGCGAGGGCACGGCGATTCAGGCGGCGACTGCGACGCCGGTCCCGTAGCCCGCCGTGCGGGCGTCGGCACTTCTGCGCCTCCAGGCCTCCTCCGCCACGCACGCGGGACGTCTCGCGAGGAGCTGCGTGCGCCAGGCGCGGGGAGGCCATCTCCCGAAGCGGGCCTCCCTGCGCCGAAGCTGCCGCCAGGCAGCAGCTCGCAGAGGCCACTCGCAAGCCTGCGTGCAGCACGGCGTGGGCGCAGTTCCCGCCGGCAGCCATCCTCACAGGGCTGCGCGCGAGTCTGGGCATCGAGGCGGGGGTGGGGGTCGCCGCGAACCTGTCGGGAAGCCTGCGCCACGGCGGCAGCTGGCCCGGTCGCTGCGTGAGCACCGCTGCCGCCGCCGCCGCCTGGCCGCGGCGCCGCTGCCAGCTGGGCCCCGCAGTCGCCTGGCGGCCTGGCCAGCGCCCACGCTGGCCTGGGGGCTACCTGGCGCCGCGCCGGTCTGCAGCGGCAGAAATTCGTCGGCGGGCGTCCGGTGGCGCTGGGGAAGCATCGCGCCCTTGCGGGCGCCCTGTCGGCCTGGTCTGAGCCGCGCCCAGGAAAAAGGGAGGCGGAGGAGGAGGGGGGGGGGAGGAGTAGGAGGAGGAGGAGGAGGAGGAGGAGGAGGAGGAGGAGGAGGAGGAGGAGGAGGAGCAGGAGCAGGAGTAGGACCAGGACGGGGAGGAGGAAGAAGACGAGGACGAGGAGCAGGACCAGTGCAGACCCAAGACGCATTAACGATGTTAGAATAGCCCACCTTTGAGCTTCGGCTTCGTAGGTCCCTATCATGCACTTTCACGGCGGGAAGTGGCGCCTTAGAAGTCAACCGTCTGATAATGGGACTTCAGCGCTGCGGGTGATCCTGATTGCTGCACCTTGACTACCCAAAATCCTGCCATAACGCCATGGCTGGGACTTCAACACCGCGAATCAACGTGACTGGTGCCCTGACAATCCTAAATCGTGCCAGAACGCAGTCCCTGGGACTTCGACCATGCAATCCTTGAAACTGCTGCAAGCGTTCAAGACGCAGCGCTACGGCGAGAGCCACATGTTGAAAAGGAGCCGCCAGATTCCTTCAACTGGTGCCAGACTTTAGAGGCGAATGTGCGTGGCGCTAAGGCGAGAGCCACATGCTACTTTTAAGACGTGTGTGCGCGGCGCCAGGGCGAGGTCCATCCAAATGTTGAAACTACTCAGGCGCATCTGTGCTGAAGCTGTGCGCGGTCTTGTCAATGTTGCATCGGTAGAGTGAAACAATTACTGAACACTCCCCCTCCCCCCCAAACTCAATGTTGGCACGCGCGGGAGAGACTGCGGTCGAAGTGCATCTCATCGGACCCGCCGCCAACTTTGAACATTGGGGGGAGGGGGAGGCGTTGACAGATTAATGTGGCATGAGTGTTCGCTAATCTGTTCCGAGGCCTGAATTTCAAGGTTCTGGATCAGCGAGGACGTTTCAGGCGAAACGCCCGGCACGCCCTACGGCACGTCTGGAGGTCCAACAGGGAGGAGGTATGTATGAAGAAAGATATGGAGGATGAACAAGAGGAGAAGAGTAGGACACGGTGGAAGAGGAGGAAGAAGAGGAGGAGGGGCAGGAGGAGGAGGCGGAGGCGGAGGCGGAGGAGGATGAGGATGAGGAGGATGAGGAGAAAAAGGAGAAGGAGAAGGATGAGGATGACGATCAGTCAGAAGAGTGCATGTCTGCCTCGGGAGGAGGAGGAAGCTGAGGGGGAAAAAGCGGAGGACGTGGAAGACAAGGAGGAGATGGAGGACGAGGACACGGACGAGGAGGAGGAGGAGGAGGAAGAGGAGGTGGAGGATGAGGATGAAGAGGAGGAGGAGCAGGAGCAGGAGGAGGAGGAGGAGGAGGAGGCGGCGGACGGGAGACACGCGAATCATGTGGCTGGAGGAGGAACGAGGCGAGGGCTCTGGATGGGGAGGGGAGGAACCAAGAACAGAAGGAGGAGGAGGAGGAGGAGGAGGAGGAGGAGACTGAGACTTAGGAGGAGGCGGAGGTGGAGGACGGGGAGGAGGATCAGCAGGAGGATGAGGAAGAGGAGGAGGACGAGGACGAGGAGGAGGATTATATAGAGGAGGAGGAGGAGGAGGAGGAGGAGGAGGAGGAGGAGGGGAGGAGAGGAGGGGGAGGAGAGGAGGAGGAGGAGCAGAATACTGAGGAGCAGAAGAAGGGAGAGGAGGAGGAGGAGGAAGAGGAGGAGGAGGAGGAGGAGGAGGAGGGGAGGAGGTGGTGGAGGAGGATGAGAGGAGAAATAGGAGGAGGAGGACGAAGATGATATTGAGAATTTGAAGGAATCGAGCGTGGTATTTGTTTGGACCCTCCTCGAGGTTGGGGTACCTCTATTCGGCAGCTCCCTCCATGGGCGCCTCTGGATCGGACTCGCGAACCTGAAGCAGAGCAGAGAGATCGACACAGAGTCGCGGGCCACACGTACCTCCGCGGATCTGTCGACAACAGATTGTGGATCTGTGGTGGGAGCTTTAGAGGATCTTCCGCAACGCAGCTGTGACGGTGGCACCCAAGCTGCAGCCTCAAAGATCCAGTGTCAATGTTCGAGACCGTGCCGCTTCCGCCACAAATGCCGACGTGCTGACTGCGACTTCTGCCACCTGCACCACGCGGCGCCGACGTCGTTCGCAATAGCCCGCAAGGCTCGACAGGATCTCTCCCTCGACATGAAGACGGATCCCATGCACGACCTGATCGACTCGACCCTTCGGTGGTGGAACAAAGGCATCCCACAGAAAGCACCCGTGCACCACCGCCCTGCCTGGCCATGGCCACCGCAGGCCCCCGTGGGCCCTGGCACAGTGCGCGCGCAGGCCATCCTCCCGGCCTCGGCCAGCCAGGCGCCTGCAGCATACGTGCACCGTGCTGGGGCTCACGGCGGCCGCTGGCCAGGCACGCCGGAGGAGCACAGGCGCCGCCTGCGCCAGGCAACCACAAGAGGAGGAAGCAGGCGCTGAGGCTGCGGAGCCTGTGCTTCCGGCGGCTGCAGGTGCTCCGGGCCGCCGAGCTGGCGCGGGAGGCCGGCGCTGCGGCGGGCGTGGAGGAGCTCCGCCAGGCTCTGGCGGCCGTGCGGGCCGAGCACGAGCGACTGCGGGACGCCCTCCCTCGCTCTCTGGAGGTCTCGGGGCGCCAGCTGGGCGACGCAAAAAAGCGGGGTCGTCTGCGCCGACACTGGCGCGAGAGCTGCCCGCGTAAGGATGCGCGTGGGCGCCCTCGTCGTCTCCACTGTGGCGGGCCGCGCTGGCGGCCCTGGTAAGCCGCCGCGTATAAGGTCGCTATGATGTCATCTCGCGTAAGACCCGTTTCGCTTCGTCGCCCAGCTGTTTGGACCTGCGCCGGCTCTGGTCCCTTGCCCATCCATTCGCAGAGGGCCCCGTGTGCAGCACAGCCATGCTTGGCCAGGGCCAGCCTGGGCCCTGGGACGGGGTGCTGTAAGCCTGGCATGGGCGGTGGTGCACGGGTGCCTTGCGCCTGTTTTCAGACCTCCAGGCCCTGGGGCCGTCCGAAGACGGCCCAGGATGAAGCCCCGTTGTTGGAGAAGGGAATCGAGGGCTCCAGCCGGTCCTGGAGGAATGGGCCGGGAGCTCCAGTGGCAAGCAGCTCAAACAGATCGAGTCGTCGACTGTTCATATGCAGGCCCAGGATCAGTGTGCACGCCCTGCTGGCTGGGGCGGGCGGGCGTCGTGTCTATCGATCCCCAAGGCCCCAGGGTTGGGCATCGCCAGGGCCAGTGTGAGCGGATAGTCTGCGTCCCCCATCCCCCCCCCGGGCAGGGGCTCTACGCGGTCTGCGGCAGCACCGCGCCTGACGTGGTGGAGGTGCCCGAGCGGAGTATGTAGCCTTTCCAGGTCTCCAGAGCGAGATTGAGGCCGTGCGACCTTTCTACTTGGCGGCGCGCACAAGAGGTGGCGTGGGGGGGGGGGCCTTCTCAGAATCCGGGAGGGGGGGGGGGGGGGGCTTCTACGGTTTCAGGTGGCTTCCAGAAGCCTTGCCCTCCGCCTTACTCAGAGGGCCGCCGTCTGCTCGCGCCACCACCTTGTAGCGCTGCGCCTCTCCTCTGGACCACTCACTCCTGCTCGGCGCCGCAGCAGCGCAGCCGCACGCCGGCGTGGCACGCGCCCGGCGCTGAAGCGGGGGCGCGTTGTTTTTCGGCGTGGCAGGCCTGGCGGGTCAGGGGACGCACGCTAATCAGCGCACCCGCGCCGATCTTGGCCAGGCCAGGCCGATCCTGCAGCCCTCCACGCGAGAGCAAGCGTACGTGCTCTCCTGCGACGCGGCGGCGGCCTGCCTGCTTCCTCGGACAGCGCGGGCCGCGTTGCGCGCGTCGCAGTCGGGCATGTCCCTCTACAGGAGGAACATTCAAACATAATCAACATATAATGTAGGGACGATTTTTCGACTATCTTTGACTATTGTATGTTTCAGCCTTTGTTGACTATTGTTTGTTTTTCTGTGCAAGCCCGCCTGTGGGAGGACATGCCTGACCTGCCCATCGATCGTTGAAAGTAAGTATTTCGGGATTCCCAGATCCCAATCTATGTCCAGCGCCTTCGTCCTCCAAGAATAATTATGCGTGTACGTATATGTGTATGCGTTTGCTGTGTTCTGCTGTTTTCTGGGAGGGGCTGAACCCATCTTACTTGATCCGCGTTCCTACTTCATGTTTCTACCTGCTTCTTCCGACCTGCTTCTTCCAGGTATGCCCCTCTCCAGGAGGAAAATTCAAAAACAATCAAAACATACTATGGGGACGATTGTTCGACTATCTTTGGCTATGTTTGAGTCTTTTTTACTATTGTTCGTTGTCCTTTGCAAAGCCGCCTGTAGGAGGACATGCCCGACCCACCCATCGGTCGTTGAAAGTATGTATTTCTGTACTTCCAGATCCCAATATATGTTTTGCGCCTTCCTACTTCAAGAGAGTATGTATAACTACATATGTTTACATATGCGTAGGTTTTTGCTGTGTTATGTTATTCTCTGGGAGGGCCTGGGCCACACCTACTTGATCCGCCTTCCTACTTCATGTTTCTTCATACTTCTTCCGACCGATGGGTAAACCTTTCGTTATGATGCTCCAACGTACTTTTGCCTGGCTTACCAGACATAATTTCGAGCACCAAGCAAGTCCCGAGACTTGAGGGTTTCGCGTGTCGGGCCCTGGGAGGCGATACTCGTTCGACACGGTTTCGGTACTTCTTTTTCTGGGTGCTCGGACTTATTCCTGGGATGTGGTCCTCAAGTACGATGGGGGCAACATGTGGGCGTTTTTGTTATTCCTTGTTTTGCCGATCGACGCGGGTCCCGCGCGCGTCGCCGAGCATTGATATTGGAGGGGCGAGGGGATTGGAGCACCAGGCGTTGAGTCGGGCATGCCCCTCGACAGGAGGAATCTTCAAACATAGTCAACAGATAACATGGGGACGATGTTCCGACTATCCTCGGCTATGTTTGAGCCTTCGTTGGCTATTGTTTGTTTTTCTTTCCAAATCCGCTTGTATGGGGGACACGCTAGACTGCCCATCGATCGTGAAAGTAGGTATTTCGGGACTCCCAGGTCCCAGTCTATGTATAGCGCCTTCTTACGTCAAGAACATGTGTATGTGTATGTATCTGTAGCTATCCACATATATATATATATGTGTATATGTATTTTTGTCTGTGATTTGTGTTTTCCAGAGAGGCGAGGAGCGTCCCGATTGAATGCTTGCATCGCCCGTGGCATACATGCTCAAGCGCACATGGACCTGCTTCAGTTCGGCGGGGTCCTTCGAGAGCTCTCTCACCTTTCCCTGCATCTCAGCAGCAGCCTGCAATCTTGCCCTCCGTGCCCGTCGCTGGTCTGCCCGCACGTGGAGTGCGGCTCGCTGTCGTGCGGCTCGCCTGGGCAGGCGGCAGTGCCTTGCGAGGCTCGGGTTCCCGAGCCAACGGCCGCAGGGCCTGGCTGGCCGCTGCTGGTGGTCTTCGCGGCGGGCGTGGCCGTCGGGCTGGCCGTCTCGCCTCGCCTACGACGTGCTCCAGGCGGAGCGGCATCGGCGTCCTCAGCGGCGCCACGGGCCGCCGCGGCCCCAGAGGCAGCCACTTCGACGGCAGCGCCGACCACCCTGGCGCTGACGACTGGACCGTCGACGGGGCCAGTGACACCTTCGTCAAGGCATGGCTGCAGTGCCACGGTGCCCGGACATCCCTGAGTTCCAAGTCGCCGTTCGCTTCGATGATGATCCTAATTTTACTTGGCATCATCGTATCTTGTTGCGACGTGTGCGAGACGCTGTGTGGATCACGCTCACTCCAAATCTCGATTTCGAGAGGATCAATCTGGACGAGCGTCGGCATCGGGTGCTCGAGCGAGGGCAGGCTTTTCCAGATGCCATCGCTGGGGACCTCTACGCCTTCGACCCGATCGGACGCGAGGCGGTCGCTGGGCACAAGAGACGTGCTCGACTTCAGGCGGCCGTGCTCGGCGGGGACGAGGACGAGGCCATGGACGCTGAGGAATGGGTCTATGCTGACCTCGAGGACCCAGCGTTCGGGACGCTCGTCGCCGCCGATGTCCTCGAGGGGGACGAGTTCGTGGAGCTGGGCAATCGCGGCCTGGTGCGCCGTGAAGGTACCGCTCGGGGGGTCGAGAAGGTTGGACGTGCTCGACTGGGCGAGTGGTCTGAGCAGCGTCGTGTCGGCGCTGAGGACATCAGGAGTCTGGGCGTCCACACAGCAGCGGACGGCACACGTCACCTCGGGTGGACGGACGCCGTCGGCATGCTGCGCGAGAGTGACATGCCGGAGTGGAAGTTCGAGGGGCCACGAGTGTGCAAAGAGCTGGCCGCCTCGATTCGAGAAGGAGCAGGGAACCCGACTTCGTACCACGCCGAGTGGATCAGGCTGTCGGGGGTCAACCAGAATAGCGCCATCGCCTATGAGCACAAGAACGCCATGGAGATGTTGCGTGTGGCCACCAGCACCGACCAGGTCGACATCAGCAACCTGGCCTCGTTCGAGCTTCTCGCGAGGCGGGTCGTCATGCTGGAGATGGCGGTGGCGCGAGACCCCCGGGATCCCGACTTCAGTGGGCTCGGAGTCATTGCTGACGGCGCTGTGGGGACCGACGGTGCTGCACGAGCGCCGAGGTTCCGCACCTGGGTGTCTGACCGTCAGAAGGAGAGGGCGAACATCCTCAAGCAGTCGAGGTTGTACAAGGAGGAGACCAGGAACGAGCGGGACAGGAGGCGCGGCCCGAAGGGGCCAAAGGGCGGTGATGCAAAAGGCAAAGGCAGGGGGGCTGGCGGCCAAGGAGCCGAGGCCCCTCTGCCGAGCTAGATGGCGCCCGACAGCCCGCGGGTCACCAAAGCCGACTGGTGGCCTGGCGGGGAGTGGAGGCACGGAGGACCCTTTCCTCTTCCTGTGCCCGACGTTCGGCAGTACCCACGTGGAGCCCCTCACTATGTGCAGCAGAGGTGGTGGCGCTCCACGACGCGGCAAAGGCTTGTTAGAGATACAGTACTTGGTGTCAACCAACTGGCGGCCGCTCAAGCTAACACTTCGCACTTTCGACGATCTCCGCTGGCGAGCTCAGCTCCTACAGCAGTCCAGCGGGAGATGCTGGCGAGTCTCGAGGATCGGGTGGGGCGCGCAGGCCTGGTCCCCGAAGGCCTCGCTCCAAGCAGAGCCCTCCGGGAGCTCTTCAAGACGAAGGACCTGTACGGTCAAGAGCCACGTCACCTTGCCAGTTATGATCCAGCCAAGCTGCGAGTGGCCAAGGGAGTGGTGGAACCCAAGGATGCGAGAGCGCTGCTACCACCTCATGCAGCGCAGAGGCTCCGACGCTACAAGACGTGCATCGAGCTGTCCGCCGAGGAGATCGAGGCCAAGTTCGCCTCCGAGCCCTCGCCCAAGCCCTACTGGGACCCCGTGCTGCGGCGCAACAAGCGAGCCCGGCACGAGCTCTTCGAGCGCCTCCTCTCCTCGGGCATCCTGGTGCCCAGGAGGCGGCTCAAGGGCCGCATCGGGCTCTTCTTTGTCAAGAAGAAGGAGGGGGCCATTCGCCTCGTCGTGGACGCCCGATACCCGAATGCCTGCCACAAGCCGCCGCCCACCACGCAGCTGGGGACCGCGCAGTCCTTCGCGGAGCTCAACCTGGCCGAGTTCGCGGACGTGGCGGCGGAGATGGCGACTCATTGTGTTCTGCCTGGTGCTGGGGGTGTCCCAGCTTTGGACTTCCACCAGAGTGGCGCTGACGTGCGCGACGGCTTCTACCAGTTCAGCATCGTCGAGGTGGCCGACTGGTTCGGTATCGACGAGTCGTTCAGCAAGGGGAGTTTTGGCATCACCAAGGTGTTCGACCCCGAGCTGGGCGTGGACGTGGAGCTGGCCACGCGCGAGTCCTTCTACCTCTGCATGGGGGCCATGCCCATGGGATGGTCGTGGGCCCTCTACTTCTGCAACGAGGCGGTGGCTTCTCGCGCGGCGGCTGTGGCTGCTGATGGTTGGGGTGGCTTGCTCCGAGAGCGCGCTCCGGCCCCCCGCCTGGTCCCTGGGCGGCCCGTCCACGCCGTGTACGTGGACAACCACGCAGGGCTGGGGCACAGCGCCATGGACGCAGAGCAGGCCCACCAGGACTTCCGCGCGCAGTGTGCCGCCTTCGGCCTCGATCTCCACGATGAGGTCCCCTGCAGCCCCTATCTCGAGGCTCTCGGGCTGCAGTTTGACGGGCCGGGCCGCCGCCTGCGGCGTCGATCGGCCCGCCTCTGGCGCTTCAAGCTGGCGACTGCAGCCCTGCTTCGCCGCCGTGTGGTGGCAGGATGGCAGCTCGAGATCTGGCTGGGCCACGCCGTTCACATGTGCGGCCTCTGCCGACCCCTTCTGTCTATCCTGTCCCAGAGCTACGCCTACGTCGCGGCTCACAAGGAGAGGTCAGGCCGCTTGTGGCGAGGCGTTCGGCGTGAGCTCTGGCTCATGTCCAACCTGGTCTTCACCTGCGAGGTGGAGCTGGACGCGCCGTTCAACTCGTCGGTCTACCTCGGCGACTCGTCGGGCTACGGCTACGCTCTCATGGAGACGAAGGGCACAGGCGACGAGCTGCTGGAGGACTTCAAGTGGAGGGAGCGCTGGAGGTTCAAGGCCGCGCCGCCGCTGCCTCCGCCGCCGCACCCGACATTGGAGGCGTTGGGGGCGGCTTTCGGGGTCTGCTTTGA